ATTTCGTGTGAACCACAAATATTATTCACTTTTCTATCACTCATTTCTATACATTTATAATTTAAACGTTTATATATATATATATATATATATACTATTCAAACGTGATTTAAGTGTTTTTTTTTTTCCATTTGCTTGTGTAATTAGCATTTCTTGGTATTTAAATATATGTATACCCAAAAAAATTGATTACTACATAAAATATTTTTATCACAATTAACTCGACGATGATAAATATTAGAATAGTGCTATTTGTTATTATGATCATACGATGATTGATTATCACAATTAACATGTCTGGCTCTAATACCAAATTGTTACGTATTTGGGATATGGATCGAGTAATGGGTAAATTGACGGATGAGAACCAAGGATCATTCTTACGTCAGCGACCTATGAAGGTGATATGGTGGGACACTTCGAGGGGTCCTAGGCCTCCTTGTATTGGTTAATTCGAGTAAACCAACAACTCTCAAATCAACACAAGGTTGAAGACAAATTCATGAGATGTTTTCGGTCTCTCTCTAATAAATAGTCATTACAAAATATCCCTCTATGGACAAGCAAATTACAAGGCCAATCTTTATTGGAAATAAAAAAACAGATTAGCCCATGTTTGGTACACATTAAAATTTTTATTTTCATTCTTCGACTCATTTTCAACCACACATTTTTCAATAAAAAAATATTTTTCATCGCATCAATAACTTTTCTTTCTTTTTCAACCACAAATTCTCCATCAATCTATTCTTCTAGAATATATTCTTTCAAAATAATATGACTCAAACACACTCTTGATTGAAACAACTTAAGTCCCTGCTTGGTGGGCATTCAAGATGCATTTTTTGGCATTTTTCTTGTCAGTGGGCCTAGTGGTGCAGATTGTACAGGTAATATAAATACGGAATTGCCATTCATCCGACTCATGATGAATTTATGTGAAGGGGCAAATTGATAATTTTGCTAGGTTTGGTAAAAAATTGCAACGGCTTCTTTGATGAATAACGAATATATTATAGTATACTGAAATATCAAATACCATTCAATAATTCATATCATAAACTAGTAATATAGAACTAATGATATTTTATTCTTTTAATATATTCGAAATTTTGTGACTAATTATTATAAACATATTCTAAAACCAAATTCTTCAGCACACACAGCAACCAAAGCCGGATGGAGCAGCAGCAGAACGCCACCGCCGCCAAACCCATTCATTGCATCGTCAAACTCGGTCAGCAGTATATCTACTTACA